GGGACCGATTTAGTAGTTCCGCCGGACATCCGCCGGGAGCGTTATAACATATTATTATCATAATGGCAACTCGCTTATTTTCGTATCGCCGGCTGACCGGCCGCGATAACAAACAGGTTGACCGACTATTGGTTATTTTGATAAGAACTCCCGTGTGCCGCGGCCGGCCGCAGTGTACGGTATGCCGTAGGGTCTAACGCGGTATGATAGTATGATACGAAAACAATACTATGATGTAGGCGTGTTACCCAAACGAAATCCCCGTCGTTTTCATCTTTTCGCCATCGCGCCTCGTTGCGATAAAAAAAAACACACACAATAAAACACCGTTTTGTGTATAATAACGTTCCGTGAAAACGGTTGGACACGACCGTTTCCGTCGATCCTGCGTCGTTTAGAGTGTTTAGACTTTCGATTGCCAGCAGCCGGCGGCTTGTCATCGTCAACCGGTCTCATTATGTTTTACTGGGCGGTAATGACGGCGACCCTAAAAATACCACACGCATACCAGTGCTGCGTGCGCCGGAGACGGTAATTCCGATTAACGGTTGAATACGTTATAGAGTTATTAAATTTATACCCGCGACCGACGATAAACCGTTTTTAACGAAACACGATTCTGAGCGAAGTCCGGCCATACACGTTTCGTGTAATTTTACACAATTCGTCAAAATGTAAAATATATAATCTGCAATGCTAAGGCGCGCCGTGAATATTTGTCCGTTTTTTTTTCCAGTTTTTACCGAGTATTTTGAAAATTATTAAATTTAACGCGCCAACGAGATTCGGAACACAACCAACGCGGTCTCTTATTTTCTTTTTTGATTGGAACAAGATTTATGGCGGAAAAGATGTTTACAGATGGAAAAAAAAATATACATTATAATGAAATCAATCAATTGGTTACATTTTAACGACCGCCTGAATAAAAATCAGGATTTTCCGCTAATCTGCTGTCCGATACCCCGTTTTAGGGGAAGAGAGGTACGGTCGCTATTTACGGTAGAGTTGGACGTTTTAAACCCGCGTTTGTCGGATTTAAATTTTGAAAACGTATTACGGTTATTTGCGTCTTTTACTAGAGAATGCGGTGGAATGTTGTTAATTTCAATTCGCTTTATCACAAATAAAACGCCAAATACTTTGTGCACGTTTCTAGAAAATTGTTCAGAATACAATAAAATCAAGGCCGTAACTGGGAAATAATTTCGGGGAGATGGGAGGAATTGTACCGCGAAAACCGTGTGATGTTCTAATTTTATTTAAAACCCCTCAGATACGGCCTTGAATTAAATCAATCGATTTTTTTTTACGATTTCCAGCGGAATAATTAAATTTCCGCCGCTACTGACACTACTGATAGAAAAAAAAAAACCGTTTTTAAATTAATATTGAAATCCGTAAAACCCAATTGCAGAACGGTTTTGTCAACAGCATTTTAGATCTTAAATCGATTGTAATGTTACGCTAACACGTGTCACCGGTTTCCTTAAGCTGGCGAATTCATAAATGTTACGATTAAAAAGAGTTTTATAAGCGTAGGTACACACATATAATATAGTAGTATTAAACAGTATACACGTGTAGAAAATTGCTGCGTACGTCGTCGTCATTGTGCACTTTATACATTTTATATACGAGTATAAACATTTTCTGCTCGAGCGAAAACGCGCAGCGGCTTAATAAATAAATAAAAAAATAAGAAAAAAAAAACTAATGATAATAAACACCCCTATATGCTAAATACGCTATTTTCTTTAAAGCTCCGAGTAATTTTAGGTGTATAATGCAAGTCTGCAATATAAAATATGTATACAAGGTGTCCCGCGCAGATATGACAAACGCAATAACTTTTGCTCTGATCGATAATTACATTTTTTTTTTTTTTTTTTTATAATAAATACCAGTGCGCTACGCTACGATTTTTGTATTTTGTATTATTATTTTTTTTTTTTTGGCGAAAAACTCGAAATTTAAACTTTCAAACAATTTGTTTTACAAAATCCAAAATAGCTATATTCAGTAAATTAATTTCAACACAAAATGTTTGATTGTAACCAATGTCGTCTACCGACATTTCGTTAATTGTCTACAGTTTCTTGAAATTTACAAAATTATTTTTGATTAGAAAACTTGTGAATCGATTGATATTATTTTAGTAGTAGCAATCAAAACAATTTTAAACCATGGTATACTTTAAAGAAAATTGTAGATCGTTATAGTGCCTGAATTTTGTTTTAAAATAAACGCATACAAAATGTCTTGGATTTTGTATAGAAAAACAAATAATATAAATAATTCAGTTTTAAAGAAATATAAATAGCCACGTAGCGCAAAACACTAAAGAAAGAAACTCTTTCGAAAAATATCGAACCGAACAAAAGTCATTTGTCGGGATTACCGAAGGACACCCTGTATATTTACGCTTGTGTACTAAATGAAGAATTCTAAAAAGAGAAAAATCGTTTTCCGTCCTTAGATACGCTGCAAGTACCTCGTATATAATTATTATACCGTTTCAGGAAGACATAAAAACATTAAATGCTTCTTTTTTTCTTTTTTTTCTTTAATATTTCACAACTGCAATATTCCTTATCGCCTTTTATGGTATAGGTATACAAACATTTTTATAAATTATGTACAGTTTTATGTATTATACACTCGCGAAGAATATTATTCCCCGTTCATTAATCACCGCGGCCTTTATGATAATATAAAAACGCGCAGTTGGGCGTGTATATTATTATTTTCGTACCTACTTGGAGGTTTTAACGCGCAGAGCAGATTTCACGAAAATAAAGAAGAAAAAAAAAGAAAAAAAAAAAGAAAAAAGCCAAAACCTTCTATATTATAATATTCGTATACACTATGTACACGGTATAGTATATACGTATAGTGATCGAAAACTTTTGGTATTTAAGAGCGCCGATGGATATAATATTATAGTCCGACAAAATTAATGAGAAGTTTTATTTTATGCATACACCCGAGTTTTTATAACGAATAAGCAGTATACCGACCGTTTTTTTTTTCTTTTCGAACTCCGATTTCCAATTACCAACTAATGTTTATACACGGTGTTATTAAAATCATTCGGGAAGGGACGTTTTTTTTTTTTTTTTCTCAATTATTATTCATTTTAATATCGTCTTGAAACGAACTCGTACAGCGGAGTAACGTTTTAACGCTAATTAAAATATATATATACACGTAATATCGTTTTTTATCGAGGAGTACCTAATCAATTAATTTAAGAAGTTTACTTATACGGTAACCATCAATCTAGTACCCAAATTGGTCGTGACACTGTTAAGGACGAGAATATTAAAAAAAAGACGGACATGCTTCGCACGTGGGTGCAGCCACTGTTGTAGGTGGAAAGTTGGCGAGGTAAGATACAGACGGGAATTTAATGTACACCCGTAAGCAACGATAAACCATTATACCATTAAACCACGATTCTGAGCGGAGTTCAGTAGATAGTGTTGCTTTGTCAACAATACAACTTATGGTACATATCATATTATGGTAAAATTATTACAACGATGTTGGTTTCCATGACAACAATGGTTGTTTAGAGGGATTTTAAAATGATAAAAACCCGATAAAAGCGAAGAATAAATAAAAACGGTTGCTGATGACAACCGTTTTTTAATCTTTTCATCTTGTTTAACCTAAAAAACCGGGTTTTCCTCATTATTATTCGAGATAATAATGAAAATTTCAAAAAATGACCTCGCTCCATTCAGAATCTAAACAACGTCTAAATAATAAAGAATCTATGAATAATACGAGCAGATAACAAATGTAAATTATCTCATTTATTTTGCCGAATATTGACATTTCAATGTCACACTTGCGCGCAGATCGATTTGAAATGTGCATTGCAGCCATTTCGCACCGTAAAACGCGCACACCGAAAGCGATTGTTCGTTTGGTACCGTTCTTCACTCACACACTAATGGTTATCACGTTGTTGTAAATGATTGCTGTGATATTATTATGTAATGGAAATCTCGAACGAACGAAAGACCCGCGTCACACAATGTCAAAACGCGCCTGAAATCCGTGTGAAATTTTCGTAATTAGCTGGGTAAGTGGGCTCGGGATTCTCGGCATTCTCGGGTGCAATTCAAGTTTACACAATAGTGTCATTATTATATTGTATACATCGCGCATAATGTATCATTTTGATTACGGTGTTGTTGTTTTGTCGCTTTCGTCATGTTTGTCTTTGAGGCGAGCACGTTCGGCGAGATTGTACATTTCGATACGTTCCTAGTTCGCTGCATAATATAAACGCGTTTACTGACCGGACGTTTAAGAAAAGGGAATGTCACCTTTCGTTTCGACGTGCGCACGCGTCGATGTTCCCATCTCGACACGTAACGCGACAAATGTCAACTTCCTAAAGTCTTTTACACAAGGTCGTTCGTTTAACGTAAAACACTATCGTTACTCCGCGAAGTATTGACACGAAAAAAAAAAAATTACACCGTTTCGACGGTAAATTTAAGAAATAAGTACATCGTTAACGTTATTTTTCGTCAACCTAATTGTCGGGGGTGAAACGACTACCTTTTTTTGACTTTCAAACGACAAACATTGTTCATATTGTCCACAGTTCCATAAACAAACGGGTTATTAGTCTGAATACATTTTGTCGGTGGTATTTGGATTTCCGTCAAGTCGTTGACGAGCCGTTCCACTTTTAAGTTTAACTAGACGGAAGAGTAGTGGGGTAACTTAGATTTGATTGTTTCTTAAAATGGTCAAAAAAAAAAATTAAAAAAAAAAATAGTTTGAAAAAAATCAATACTTACGTATCGATTCAAATAATGAGTTTTTTACGTTTAGCAAATCATCCTGCGCAACGTCGTCGGACTCATTTCGGTGCCATCAAATATAACGAAATTTTCAGCCGCCGAATCAAACGGAAAATGTCCAAACTTTTTCGGTCAATTTTAAATTGCTCTATATATTATTATTATTATATTCTTCTACGTCTTCGCCTTCATCACGCTCGACTGCAGCGTAGTTCTCTTATTATTTTCAGCCTCCCTATATCCATCACCGGTTCCTCGTTCTACGTGCACTCCACACAGTGACGCACGGACATCAATTATTGTAGTGCACGGTCTCTCGAGGGGAACGGCTGAATGGATATAGATTACGGGTGTGTATTGGTGACACCGGGAAATCTAAAAAGAAAAAAAAGTTTAGTTGGGTGGATACTTTTGTTAACTGCACGGTCTGTATGCGTTAAGTGCTCTCAACTAGTGGCCAGTCATTTGGTAGTATATAATCATAACCTCCACTAGCTCGCATTTTTTCTGTCGGTCTGTCTCTTACTCGGCTATCATACCACTTCCGCCCATCTGCTCGAAAAAACGCATTATGCTAATGAACCAACCGCACACCCTCCAGAAAAAATAACCAAAGACCCGTCCGTCGCAGTCCAACGTTATTATACTCCTGGTCGGTTATCTAACCTGTCCTAACCTATACGTTTTTAGAAACGTATTTTCGGACGTGACTAAAAACGAGGTTCGAACGCGTTTAGTGCAGTGCAGCGCGGGCCGGAGAAACGATACGTAAACAAATACAATATATTATTTGTCGTCGGTTATCCGGTTGTTTCGGATTTTTTAAAACCAGTATCATATGTACAAAAAAAAAACAAAAAAAAAAAAACGCACACAATAGAGATTACCGTTTATAAAAATAATTTTACGCTACCACTCAACATACCATAATATAATGTACCATGATAGCGGTTTTTTTTTTTTTTTTTCCATCGGCGGCGGCACGTTTATAATTATAACGAATACAAGACGGCGTATATTTTTATAATACGCGGCACACTCTCGATTTTTGTTTTCGACGCTTTCGTTTTCTAGTCGCGTATTTCTCCCCCCCCCCTCTCACCCTCCCGCTACGCCGTTACAATAATATATTATTATAATCTACCGTAATAACAATATAATAGAATAATATATAGGTCGGCGAATTATTTAACCGCTATATATATATACAATGTTACGGTCATTGTAGGAAAACCGAGCATTCTCGACAATTTAGAAATCAATAATTTCATTACTCCGGTTCAGTAAGATTATCACTCATTAGTTTAGGTGTAGAAAACCGTACGCTGGACTTCAAAAGGAAAGCAGTACGAATTCGGAAAACGGCTTTACAAATGTATACAAATCTCGCAGTACTAAATTTTTCCCGCTTCTCCACGATTACGAATCTCCGGTTGAGTTCAGGGCTAAGGATTTTATAAAGAAAAAGAGATCCGCAGATTTATTATTACTATTACGGATACTATACGTTCGATTTGTTTTGATGTTTTTAACTTTTGATCGTTTTAATTTCTTGTTGAAAACCATTCGTAACTTAATAGAAATAAAATTACTAAAAAAAAAAAAAAACCAATAGTAGGATCTTTTTTATAAAACGTATACCATTTGCTCTAAACTCAATTGGACAGCCGCAATTGTGGAAATGCGGTATGCTTTTGTTGTTTGATATATATTACACACGCGAGACAAACAGAAAGCGAATGTTAGAGATGTAGCCCCTATGATTTAAACGCCTTTTTTAATTTTAATTTACGAAATTTTGCTTTTTGTTTCCCTATCCATTAGTTATAGACCGTGACGGCAGATGCGGGTGTGGTGACATTCCCTAAACGGTTTTTTTTTTCAAGTCTTCCGACGTGTTAACATTCAATGAAAACGTTCTTTTGTGACCATAAACGACAGCGGTGGTTGGACGTGATTGTATATGCACATATTGTTAACTTGTTCTTCTTCTTCATGGGGTCGCCCAAACTAATCTCGAATTTTCTCAGTCAGCTGCTCTTACTTTCCAGCGTGATCTTCCATTTAGAGATTTTGCGCCTCTCCTCACCAAATTTGCACTTCATAAACGAAAGCGTCCATGAGGTATTTGTCCTTCCACAGATTCTTTACCATTACAGTAATCTTCTACTATGGACTGTATCTATAATACATGTTTTGTTTCTGATAGCGTCCTATCTGGCTCATTGGTTTTTACTGGTCTGAACATTTTTCTATGTATGTGTTTTTTTTACCGAAACAATCACGGTGTTCTTTCCTTCATTTTCCTCAATGAACCTAATATGGTTTCGTTTCACTTACACGGTTATTGAGCGTCATATAATAATATTGCATCTTCAGTTTCTCGTGCATATATTATTGAGTAACATAAGCTGAATTTGTCCGTGTCCGTGCGTTCGTACGCACTCTATTTCTCGAGCGGTTACGAATTTTGGAACGCGGTTTTCGTTTAACTATTTATTAAGCTCTAAAGAAGGTGCCCATTAGTTATCGCTTCGACAATCCGATTTGAATCGGTGTAAATTAACTGTAGAACCCGGCGAAATGTTCGAATTCCGTATCCGTTTAACACTTTTACACGAGACGGCGCGGCGGCGGACTTTGACTTTGCGAGTCCGACCGTTTAATACCCGCGAGTCGTGTGTAACAACGACCGTCCCCCTACGTATAGCAAATTTGCATAATGTTATTATACGACGCACACTCAACAATAGTAATAATAATAATACTATTATAGTGTGTGCGTGTGTGTGTGTGTGTATGTATGTGCGTTCGAGGTGATCCCATTGTGATATTCGTATATTATAATATATAGTATTTTACCGCCACCGCACGATCTGCCGAAAAAAAAACGACCATCCGACGATATGGTATACAACATAATACTATGGTATATTATGCCGCGATCTCCGCAGCATCGCCCGCCGCCGCCACCGCCGTTATTGTCCAAAACGATTTCGTCCTCTCGCCCATCATCCGCGCGCACGACTATCGTGAGCGTGACGACGACGGGACGGGACCGGCCGTTTATATTATACGCGGGTCCGACGACGGTCCTTAAAATAATAACAATAATAATATATTATAAATCTCGACCCTCTGGTTGTTCGCTCGTCCGGAAAGCGTTTTTTTGTTTTTTTTATTTTGTTTTAACCGACATCGAAAACGGAGGAGCAGCTTCCTTGTTCGACTTTGGACGATGGAACGATACGTTTGTGCCACAACTCCGTCAACCACACGCCTCGGATTTGGACGATATTTATTGATTTTGTTCGTTTAAAAAAGCATGAATTTTTGGCATGGTCTCCGTACGAATTCAATCGAAACGTGGCCGCGGACTTCGAAGATACTCCCATTATAGTGTAGTGTTAACAACCGTTATATTTTCGTTTTTACACCGAATCGATAAAATTAATTGATAGTGCATGGCGACCAACAGTGACGTATTGAGAGCAGATTTAAATATTCAATTAATTTTTTTTTTTTTAAATACAGACCAGACTTCAAAAATGAAAAAAAAAATCAAATATATACATTAATTCTCAGATCTTTTTTACCAGAAAATAAAAGACATAAAAATATTTGGCTGTCTATTCGAATAACACAGTAGGCACTACTTTATCAATTTGCACTTTTTTTTTTTTTTTATTGTATTTTTTGGTATTTAGGTACAAATACAGTTAAAATTTAAAAAAAGAAAACCGCAATTTACGACAGAATTGATTGGAATAAAATTGCTAGTAGAAAAGTTGTTCACGAACTTCTTTTGTTGAAGACTGTGAGTGGTTGAATGAGGATATTGACGCAATTGTTCTTCGAGCTTCGACCTTGGGTTTTCTTCTCAACGTTTTAAAATACATTTCTATGTTGATCTTTAGGTCCCGTTGTCCGTTTGTCATTGATTATCAATTATTCTAAGTTCACTCATGCAGAAAACACGGTCAAGGATTTAAGTATAGTTTTTGATACGAAATTAACGTTAAATTTACACATAAAAACATCTTGTCGCAAAACGCTAAATATTCTCGGTTTTGTTAAACGTGTTTATGCTCAGTTCAAATTAGTTACACTGATTGAAACAGCATTGATTTATCATTACTTACAGATATAAAATAAATAGCTTTATTCTCACCTCTCCCACTTTCCATCTAAAACGCACACGGTAGTAAAAGCTTTTTTTTAAAATTTGTTTCGTTTGCTTTCGATAACTTTTTTTTTTAAATTATTATTTGGAAGAGCAAATATTTCCGCAAGTCACATTTAACTTCGATGTTTGATTAATCTTTATGACATATGCATTAGTTGCGAGATCAACAAAAAAGTTTAAAAAATACAAATATAAATTTTCAGACGCTTAATAAAGTTTTTAGGAATCTGAATTTTAAAAATTCGAGTTTAATGCGACTTACCAAAAGTCTATCCTCTCCAGTGATAGTTTTGGCCAAACTTTAAGGGAGAGGCAATTTAAAATGTCAACCTCCCTCTCCCAAGTGTATACCGAAAATTATAGCGTCGGACATTGGCTCCACTAACCTTAGTAAGGCATAGACCGACAAAATTGACAGTGTAAAATAACACCTGGAAAAAGTCTAGAAAAAGTCAATATAAACATTCTGTGAAAATTTCAGGTTTAGCCGATTTACAACGAAAATAATCGTAGTAAAAAAAAAAAAAAAAAAACAAGATTTCTTTTTTTCCTAAAGCAAATAATAAAATCAAGTTCTCGGTGAATGTGAAGTATCGCTAAACCATCAAGTCGGTTTTGAGGCATCTTCGGTCTAAGCCAGGTTTTAGAATTAAGCATATTAAAATATGAAAATAAACAAGCAAAGTAAAAAAAATCAAATAACCGTTTGTATAATATTGCATACGTATTGTGTTTAGAAAGAAAAGGTCACGGGGGAGGCGATGGCCCCGTCGCTCCTCCCTAAAAACCGACCCTAATCGTCTTTCAAAACCTCTAAAAAAAACACCAAAATATAACTACGAGGCGTGAGAGTTTTTCCCGCAACGCGTGTTTATTCGCACGTAATATTAAATTTATTCGTTCGAATTTATCGACGGGACTCGTACACATCACGAAAATTGTATGCCTACTATATTCCCATTATATTTTTCGATTTATGATGTGAATAATAAAAAAAAAAAAAATCGGTTTTTTTTTGCTTTGGTTGACCCCGTCATAAGACACGCGACAACGACGACTGTATACGGTCTTCCGCGAGGGCATCTGCCCCGGCGTTATAATGTTGTTATTATTATAACATGGAAATTTATGCGAAACGACAGCAGTCCGGCGTTCGTTCATAATAATAATAAATTATTCATTCGCACGGAACATTGACCAATGTCGTTTTTTCATTTATCGCCTGGATTTCGACGTAAACTGATTACATTTTATTTATCGAGTATATTATAGCGCACGTATTAATCACGTTCGTCCGGTATTATGTATGTATGGGTTGATTTCGCAAACATTACAATTCTGATTGTTATTATTATTATTTTTTGAATTTTCAATTGTAGTGAAAGCTGATGTTTTCGAATACACAGATTTCTCAACGCACTTAAGGAGTGTCCCGCGATAATAAATACTTGAATTTTTCAAACGAGAACCTGCATTGAAAATTCCATAAATATACGCACTAATAAACGGATAATAAATCTCGGCGTTGACATTTTTGATTTTCCATCTACCCGTTGACGATGGCGCTATTTACGCCTCGGTATCGTAAAATGACTCGGAAACTTTTCGTTCAAATTTCGATAACAATACGTCGACATTTTCGAAAAGATCGTCCGGTCCGCAATTCGTATTAAACCGTCGTGTGCGGGTTCTCACAAATTTTGACGCCGAGTCAAATTGTCATCCGGCCGAATGATTAGGTTTTTTTTTTTTTTTCTCTCTCTCTCTCTCCGTCGCAATCCGGCGGTCAACAGGACGCCGCCGCCGGAGACGTCCACCGTCTCCGTCTTACGAACGCGCGAGACACGGCGTAGCACATTAACGTTCAGTAGTTAAACGCGTTCCCGTGCCGTTATAGTTTTAATATCGAGGCAAATGGTTTTAATTGCCGGGACGAGACTTTAATCAAGTAATTTGTCCGTCTCGGTTCTCCGCGCAGTTTTCATAATCATTAGGGAAAACCGGAAAATTTAAAAACGACTGGTTTACGGCGGCTTTCATTGCGTTAAATTTTAGATTCTGAACGGAGCGAGGAATGCATTGGTTTTGCAATGGTGTTTATTTTTTTTTTTTTGTGAACACTTTTTCTACCAGACGGCTCACTCCGGTTATCAGGTATAACATTTTTTCTGAAGGGAAACGTTCTCCGGGCGGTACTTTGAAGGGGTAATTTTTTGAAATTTTCATTAATATTCGAGATAGTGAGGAAAACCCGGTTCTTTAGGTTAAACAAGGTCGAACGATTAAAAAAACAGTTGTCATTATCAACCGTTTTTATTTATTTTTAATTATAATTATCAAGTTTTTATTATTTTAATCTTTTTCAAACAATCGTCTTTATCATGGAAACGCACATTGTAATCATTTACTATAATATGACATATATATTGTCGACAAAGCAACACTATTAAACTGAACTCCGCTCAGAATCGCTTTTTCGTTAACAATGGTTTATCATTGCTTAGAGATATCCATTAAATTCCCGTTTGTATCATACCTTCTCAACTTTCCATCTACAACAGTGGCTTCACCCATGTGCGAAGTATGCCCGGGTGTTTGTGCTTTATGTTTTCTATATACTGAAAATATTGCTCCAATCAAAAAATGACAACAGACGTTTTTTGTTGAATTTTCAATATACACTTGGCGTCACAAAAATCGCACCTATTGCAAATTATTTTTCAAAGTAATTTTAACTACACTTAATCATATATAAGGGTACTGTTATGATATATCATTTGAAAGGTGATGAAATAAACTTGAAAAATAAATAAATGGTATGTGTTTTTGTTTATCAGTGTTTTANAATATTGAGCAAATTCAAAAAAAAAAACGTAGAAAGAAAGGGAAAAATTAAGAAAATAATGCTATTACTATTAGACAGAAAACGTATATCTCCTTTTTTTTAAACGTGATAAATTGTAAAAAAACATTTGAGAAATGTTCGGCTATTTAGAGACATTTTAATTTGTCGAGGTTTTTACGTAATATTTATTTGATAGGTATTGTGTGAAGACAATTGTTCATTATAAATTATAATTAGTGGTAAAAAAAAAAACAACAAAAAAGTCGAACGTTATGTAGTCAATATCTTTTATAAACGTTTAATAATAAATGATTGATGAAAACCAAAAAAACTACTCACTTTTAAAACATGTACAACCGAACTTCGCTTAGAATCGTCTTTTATTCGTTGTTTAGTCATTCCAAATGTTTCATACACATATAAAGTGATATAACTTAATGTGTCCTGTTTTCCCAACTTCAACTGTGACACACCCATATTCCGGAACAGCTCGTTTTTCCTAACTGTATATGTATAATGCTACGCACAAATTTAGAAATGTGAAGATTAGATCGCCGGTGAACTGAACCGTTCACCGATGACTCCGATGATAACGACGATATTCAAAGAGGAAACTCGAGGGACGAAGGAGAGGATAATGTTGTCATTGTGCGAAACGATCGTAGCATAGATGTGCCGAACAATCCGACGCAACTGACGAAAATAAAACGTATAGAACAGCCCGAATATCATTTTGTAGATAATATACGATTTCAAACGACGATTGTATGACCGCGCATCAGGTGACGAGTATAATAACCACTTAGCGCGAGAATATTGCCGTACACTGTACACCGCAGGGTCTGAAATCGTATATAGTAACGAAACGTTTTAGGCGTGCAGTACGAAATTAAAAAGTGTGTGACGGCTATATTACGGTGTTTATATTTTGTAATCGTTTTCAATTTTACATTTTTTTGCACTTTCAACAATGATTACTATCGGAGAAAATAAAATTCTAAAATGTGTCTGTATTAAAATTTTAAATAACAACAAGTTGACTCGTAAAACATTGACAATTATCACATAATAACATTTCAAAGGTAACGAAGGCGCAGAAAAGTATTCGTGTTATCGACGTAATTAAATTCATATAGGTAAATGGGTAAATACATTATTGAATAAAGAATCAAAACTGATCGTGTGTATAATTTATAAACGGAAAAAAGTATACTAATTTCAGTCCCTCTGAGGAGGGTTGATTAAAGTTAATTAATTTTGAATCCAATGTAATGCAATCAATTGTTCTTGTGCCTTTTTAATGTATTTTTTGTTTTTTGGCCAATAAATTACCATATATCCTGATATAGCGTCAATCATCGTGGGCTATTTGTCCTTTGAGATGAATTCGCGAAGAGCGGTTATTTATTCGTTGTTGCGCTGATCAAAAAAATACTCCCCTCTCGCCATCGAAAACTGAAATGATTTCATTGCGGGGGAGAGGGGATCGATAATAACTGCGGTATAGTACGGTTTGACATTGTAAAGGATGCAGTACGAAAAAGTATACGTTTCAGCCTCTTAGTCTACATCGGAAAAGACGCGACCCGGTGGAACGATACACGCGCGCCAGACCCGCAAATAGGGGAATATTTAGCCCGCCGCGACGGAATCGGTGTACTCTGAGCCCGCGTGGCCCGCTGGGTGTGTTAATAGGTAATCACGTCATAATATGCGCGATAAGCACATGAAGTCGTCCCCGACAGGGCGAGCGACGGGTTATTTCCGCCATAACGTTGTACGGTTGTCGAGTTCGAAAAACATTTAATAATATATTTCACGCGATAATCTCGCCGAACGGCGAACCGACGGGGGGGGGGGGGGGGAAGGGAAAAAAAAAAAAAANGGGGGGGGGGGAGGAGAAGTGAAAAAAAAAAAAAAACTGAACGAATATTTTGCTACTCGACTTGTATAACACGACGGTGTTGTATTGTCGGCGTGCACACTCGCCAGCACTAAGCACTTGTAGACGTTTAACGAGTCATACGCGATCTCGCGTAAATAATAACTATAACATTACGTTTATCGGTCGTGCGAGCGGCGAGATAGCCAATAAAAAGTATACCGGCTAGGCGCAATACGCGTACGTATCGCATATCTACGATATTTTATCGTTGTCCGATGGTAAATTTCTCGTTTCCGTAATTGACCGTTCGTAAACGAAATAACACAAACGTACATCCGACTGTTATCCGTGCAGTTATCACGCGGGAAAGCCGCGATGTACCTGATAGTACGATACAGGACGTGCATTATATTAATTTAGACAATTTAGACGCGGCTATTACGATAAACAATAATAATTGTTAATTTTAACGCACGTACGTACGTAGCCCCGCGATCTCCGACGACCTCCGGCAATGACAATGTACGTGTTACGCGTACTTTACACCTACGCTATTGTAACGTTCGGTTCAGACTTGCCGCGCGAGTCGTCGGCCCGAAAGCACAACATAAACGCGCGACTCCGGGCCGGACCCGGTGCCCGGAAATGTGAAAACGGCGGGTCTCTTGCTGCGTTTTCACCGCTGCGGCGTTGCCGCGGAAAACCGACAAGTTGCTCGCCCGAAAACTGGCGCGCGTGCACGTAGGCCTGCCACGAGAAACCGTCGCACCCGGACGTTAACGGTTGTCCCGAGATTGCGGGCCGTAACGTTGTTTGCGAACAGCAAACGTGAAAAGCGGGGGAAAATGGGCGTAAAGCCGATGGATGAAAAGCGAAACGATTTCCGGGGGACACACGAAAAACAAAAACCGGACGTTTCCGTTTGAGAAAATGCGGATTTCGTCGCGCGCGCGCGAGGGTTAAAATTTTTTAATGAAAAAAAAAACCCCCTTCGAAACGCGTGTATCCGATACACACCACCGTCTTACTAAAAACTCCCTCCCCACTCCCGTCCCCGATTTAGGCCCCATACGGTTCGTCCGGCCCGAGACGCAGTGAACTATCTCGCGTTACCGTTCGACCGCAACACACTGTATAATACCGTTGTACGCGAAATTGTAATTAACGTAGTAAACATTCTTCTATATGCGTACCGAAAAACAAATTAATTATTTTGTTCGACTGTATATACGTATACAGTTTTAATCAATTTAACTGTACCCGCCCGACCTGTAACTTGTACGCGCTCGCCGTAAAGTTTTTTCTGTTTGATATTCAAACGTTCGGCAAACACGGTTGGGTTGTTAGGCGACTGTACACACTCGCGTACTTTGGCGGGTACCTATACACTATGAGTTATAATTCATAATAACGATAATCACGTCCCCGCAACTGCAGCGCCGCAGCCGCGCCCGGAAAGTGTGTTGAATTTTTAATTTTTTTTTTTTTTTTTTCTATTCCCACCTCAATTTACCGCGTGACCTACATTTATTACGAAAATTACGCTAATATACGCGAAATAATTATTTCGAATTGTTTTGACTGTGCGTATACAGGCGAACACGTAAATATTCAACAACCGAACAAGACGATATTATCGAACGAAATTATAACACCGTTACGCGTGTATATTGTGCACCTGCAAATTATCATAATTAGGGCCCGGGCGACCGTGGCGTTCGCGCGTATTTTACCGAGTACGCGGACAAGTCGCTAGATAAGCTACGAATTTGAATCGCGTCCAAAGAGACGGACGTACTCGGACGTCGGTGCAGCCGCCGTTATGGAAGGGAAGTTGGAATGGTAGGATACAGACGGGAATTTTAATGTATATCCGTAAGCGACTAAAAAACCATTGCTAACGAATAAACTGTTCTGAGCGGAGTTCAGTTGATAGTGTGGCTTTGTCTACAATGTATAATATGTTATACTATGGTGCAATGATTACGGCAACAGTGTGCGTTTCCATGATAAAAATGATTGTTTGAAAAAGATTAAAATAATAAAAACTTGATAATAATAACAAAAAAAAAAAAAAATAATAATAATAATAATAAAACCGGTTGCTAGTGACAACCGTTTTTTAATCTTTCAATCTTTTTTAACCTAAGGAACCAGGTGTTCTTTATTACCTCGAATATTAATGAGAATTTAAAAAAAAAAATGACCTCTTTAGAATACCACCCAGGGAACATTTACTTTCAAAAAAAGTGCTAAACTTGATTATCGCAGTTAGCTTTCTGGTAGAAATAGTGTTCACATAAAAATTAAACACCATTGTAAAACCAATACATCCCTCGCTCTGCTAAAAATCTAAAATGAAATTTTATTTTGCATATTTCAAGAATCTTAACAAACATATAGATAGGTATTTTAAAATAAAATAATATACTATCATTTTTATTTAATTTTCAAGCAGTAAATAATATTTCATAAAAATGACGTACTTTGATACGTATCGATTTCAACAAACACCCGGGTAGAAACGAAAATATTCGAAATCAAAACCACGCGATCGAAATAATGTTATAAACTAGTGCAAAACTCAATTCAATGATAAATTTCGTGTTCGGATTTATACGGCGCAGAGTTTTAGACTTGTTACAATATAACGAAACGATAATATATTTTTCAACTTGGCGTTTTCAATTTAAGTCTTTTCGTGTGCCTTACACGAGGTCAGTGATTTCTCACTCCACGAGTATGCCCACGGTACAGGTGGCCAGGACCGAATTAAGGGGTCATCGCATAATTTGTGTACATTTTTGTAATCGATATACTTTCTAACAAACCAATAGTAAACAACAAAAATCAATTGATCCATCACGTCTTTTTCGATACTGTCAGACATTAAAACGTAAAAAAAAAAAAATACATTCCTCGCTCCGTTCAGAATTTAAAATAAGTATGCAATACGATGTTTTAAAAATTATTTCAGCTACGAATATATAAATGTTAAAACAATGTTATTATAAGTAAATAATCGGTCAGTTTCAGTAATTTATTACGTCGATAATGATAAATATATGCGACGTCATATCTGTCATAGTTGAATATTTTTTTAATCCTTTAAAAATCTAAAACGAAAATAACCATTTACATTTAAAATATTTAAAATCGAGTTACATCGTCGTTGCGCCCTTAACATTTTCTAATTAAAAAACGTTTACGTTCTCATGTACGAAGTTTGTCCGGCTTTCTTTTTTTTTTTTTTAACTCAACTATACGAAACTTTAATAATAAGCTATACATTTTACTGCACAATTATTGCAGAGCTGCTCGTAATTATATTATCCGGTTGAGCAATTTAACGTATTTACATTGGCCCGTGTGTATTTAACGGAGAAAATTAATATATAAGTATTAAGTATAAGTAATTATCATGAGTATAGTAAGTAATTTAACTGCGCGTAGCACGCTAAGACCACACGATAAAGACTGCACGATAGCTATACGAGTTTAATTTATTTTTGATTGTGTAAAATCGTGACGGACGTATTTAGTTTTTACATTTTAAAATCCGTAGTCATGGTTTAATTATTTGCTTTCAATG